TCTCTCTCTCATTTCACTTTTTTTTCCTTTTTTGTTTTGCACTCTCCCCTTTTTTTTTTCGCACTCGATACTCACGCGCATTTTTTTTATTTTTTGTATTCTACGGTTTTTTTTTTTTTTTTTTTGCTTTCTTTTCTCTTTCCCCATTCTCCAAGAAAAAGGGAGATATAAAGAAAGAGAGAACAGAAGCGAATTAGAAAAAGAAAGAAGAGAGAAAAAGAAGATCAACAACAAGAACAATGAACAAAAAAAAATTTTTTTTTGAAAAGAATGGAACGCAAACTAAGAACAAATGAAAGTCTCCTTTGTGTGTAAGGAGTGTATCAAGAAAGGTAGAAAAGCACCACCATAACTGATGTATTTAGCTGCAAATAATAATAATAATAATAATAATAATAATAATAATAATAATAATAAACACAAAAAAAGGAAGGTGGCTCATCAATACAAAGGCATTGGGATTCGTCTCTAGTCATCGGCACTGCCAATTGAAGCGTCACTTTTTTTTAAAAAAAAAAAAAACAAACAAAAAGGAACAGCGACAACATCTACAGAGCGATATCAGAAAAAAGACCTCGCAAAGACACAGCTACATACAGAAACACACACAGAAACATACACACACAGAGAGACAGATGTATATATATATAGTCACGGTCTTCCCTATTATTTCAGATTTCATCCTCAAATATTGATTTGATCCGTGATATTATATATGTAATCATACACCCAATGGCCCTGAGTTTTGTGTATGTATATATATGTGTGAGAGTGTTTGTGTAATGCATCAGAATATGCAAGTATGTAACTGAAATTCGCACATATTATACATGTTCAATTCAGGCCCAAGTTCCCAGTATCCCTATTTTTTTTTTCTTTTTTACTTTTTACACGTATAGTAATAATATAATCACCCGTGTAGAGATACAATTGATAATCTAATATGGAACCGAATCGTTTCTTTTTTTTCTTTTCTTTTCTTTTTTGTTATTATTTCCTTTCTGTACTACATTTTCACTATTTCCTTGTATATTTCTTCTTCTGTATATATATATATATATATATATCGCCCGTGAACACGGTCTGCACCTTTTGTTTCCTTTCCATTCTTCCTCGCTTATATGCCTAAATTCATGCTATTCATTTTCATCGTTGTTATTTTCTTTTCGGTGCGTTCTGCTGCCCCAGTTTCCAGCAAACCATTTCATCATTTTTTTTTTCTTGTTGTTGTTGTTGTTGTGGTAAAGAGGGTGGGGGAAAGAGAGATAGAGAGATAGAGTGAAAGAAAGAAAAAAAGGAAGGAAGGAAGATGACGTTGATTTCCTCATTCCTTTTTCTTTTCCTCTTTTTTTTTTTTGTTTTTCTTTTTTTTATTCGATCTTTTTCCTTTTCTTTTTCTTTTCTTTTCCCTTCGTGTTCCTCCCCTTCCGCCTGATCTCCTCTCATACTATTTCCTTTCCCTTCCCCCTCCCTCTCCCCCCACACACACGCACAAACTGGTGTTCATCTCATCATCATTCTTCTTTCTTCTCTTTTTCTTTTTTCTTCTTTTCTTTTCTTTTCTCATTATTAACAGCAGCCTCCACTCTTGTTGTTGTTATTGCCACCGGTGCGATTGCCGCTTGCGAGCAGCGGTTTGTTGTTGCCCGCGCCCGCCCCGGCGCCGCCCTGCGCCGCCACCCGCTTCTTAATATCCATCGCCATCTTTGTGAAGGCCTCCTCCACATTAGAGGACTCCTTCGCACTGGTCTCCAGGAATGGAATGCCGAGACTGTCCGCAAAGTCCTTCGCCATCTGCGTATCCACCGCCTTCTGCGTGACGAGATCACACTTATTGCCAACCAACAGTTTATTTACATTCTCACTTGCGAATTTGTCAATCTCGTTAAGCCACGACTTCACATTATTGAAGCTGTCCATATCGGTGGTATCGTATACAATGATAATGCCGTGGGCGCCGCGGTAGTAACTACTTGTGATGGTGCGGAATCGCTCCTGCCCGGCGGTATCCCAAATCTGCAGTTTAATGACTTTTCCATCAATGTTGAGTGTGCGGATCTTGAAGTCCACGCCAATGGTACTGATGTAACTCTCGGTGTAGCTGTCATCGGCAAAACGAAGGAGCAGACAGGACTTTCCAACACCGCTGTCGCCAATTAAAAGAAGTTTGAAGAGATGGTCGTACTCAGATGACATGATACTCTCTCTCACTTTTTTTTTTTTTTTTGATTTCTTTTTTCTTTTTTTTAGTTTGATTTTAGGATTGGTGTGTTGTTCTTTTCTTTTTTTTCTTTTCTTTTTTTCTGTTTGTCTGTATATATATACAGAAGAAGGAGGTTTGCTTGTGGTATGTAGCTTTGAATAGAGTTCGCTCTTGCGCTAAAGAGAGCAGGAAAAAAAAAAGAAAGAAAGAAATTGCAAAGCACTGTAACAATGAAGAAAGAAAAAGGAGAAAGAAAAATAAAAGACAAAACACGGTTAAAGAATATATATATATCGTGATTGTGAGTAGTATAGACTCTTCTTTTCATCATATTTTCATTTATAATAATAGTGGTAGTAGTGGTAGTGGTAGTGGTAGTGGTGGTGGTGGTGGAAATACAATGGGCATTCTATCCATGTGGGCGGAGATGAGAGTTAAGCCACAGACAAGATAACAGTCTCCAACATAGTTAAGTCCCTCATTTGTTTTTATTATTATTATTATTATTATTATTATTATTATTATTATTATTATTATTATTATTATTTCTTTTCTTTATTAAGTTATATTTTTTTTTTCTGTTTATTTTATTCACCTTCAGAAACACAAGAAACGGAAAAAAAAACAGAAACAAAAACAAATATGTGTATACATCTATATATATATATAGATATACTTTACGCTTTATATGCCCTTCTGCATTAAGTGTAAGGATACCTATGAGTACACTTCAAGGGGAGTTACCTAAAAAGTACCAAAGCACGTGTCTATATTATATATGTATGTATGCTTATATACATATACACATGTATATATATATATACCTATTGGCAAAACAGTAGGCGCGTGTTTTTTTTGTGTCCATGTTTGTCTGTATATCTCTCTAAATCTCTCTCTCTCTCTCTCCACATGCCCCCAAATATCCTGCCGGTGCTGTTTCCTTTCCTTTGCCAAGTGTAAACGGCTGCCGTTCTTTCCTTCTTCATATTGGCTGGTGAAGTATCTGCATATATGTTGACTGCTAATATGGGTTAGAGCGGGTATTTTTATTTTTATTATTTTTTATTATCATTGCTGGTGCGCAATGCGTACATAGAATACAATACATATACATGCATACACAACACAGAGAGAACAGGAAGTAAGAGTTGCATTTGACTGTTGTGTGTAACCGCAATAATTGCAGAAACCCCAAAAAAGAGAAAAAAGAAAAAAAAAATAACAATCGGTACACCTCTTTTGTATGCACAACCAAACTCTTATTAATTCTCCTTTTTTTTTTTTTTTCTTTCCCTTTGGGTCATGATAAGGTTCTCCTTCTTTCTCTTTCATTCTTTATTCTTTTTTTTTTTTGCGTTGTTTTGCCTTTTCTGTGTAGCGTGTGTATTTCTCCTTTTTCTTTTCGTTCCTTGTTTGATCACTATTTTGCTGTGCACACAACACATCACGTTCCTTTTCTCAATGTATTCTTTTCCTTCACCGATTCCGTACCGTTTCCACCACTGACAGCCTTCATTATCACGTGCTTCTTTTTTTTTTTCTTTTCTTGTTGTTTATTTCCTCTTCCTTCCACCCCGTCACTTAAAACTTTATTTATTTTGATTTTTTTTTTTTTTTTTTAATAGTTAATAACCCTCCCTGCTTCAATGTCTCCTCTTTCTTTTTTCTTTCTCATTCCCTCCCTCTTCTCTGGTGTCTCTTTTTTTTTTTTTTAGTGCATCCTACTCAACTTTATCGTCTCCAATGACACTTCTATCCACTGTGAACATAGACATAGTTATATATATATATGTATATATATATATATATATATATATATATATATATATATATACTCTCTTGCTATAACAGTGAATGTATATACTGATGGCTAAATTTTTGTTGTTGTTGTAGCACATACAGGGTGTAGAATGGATAAGGAAAGGGATTGAATAATAGAGATGAAAACATGAACTGGGGATGAACTGGGAAAGCATTAAGAACATCTGCCTCTCCGTACCACTTCCATCTGATGTAGTCGAGAATAATCATTTTTCTTCATATATATATATATATATATATGGTATTACTCAGTTTGTTTCATTGTTTATATTAACTTTACTCTCGCCCTCTCGCTCTCTTTTCCCTAAAAGAGAAAACAAGAAAAAAACAAACAAAGAAAAAAAGCACCCCATATCGCATCTGCCTTTCACTTCCCCTCTGACCACTCATACAACTTCCACGCACCCACCTAAACACACTCACTCACTCACTCATTCACCCTCTCTTTCTTTCTCTCTCTCTCTCCTCCAATTTTCAATCCCGCCGCTTACGGTAACTGCGGCTGCTGGAGCGAGAGCGGCTACTATAACTGCGGCTGCGCTCACGGCGGCGGCGATGATAATCCCGTGAACGGTGATAATCCCCGCGACTGTCGTCGGATGCCATACTGCTTCTGCTGCTGCTCCTCCTGCTTCTGCTGCTGCTGTAGTTTCGGTTATTATTATTGCCGGTGCTCTTCTCATTGCGGATGCTGCTGTTGCTGCTGCTGGTGCTGCGCCGGCGTCTACGGTAGCGGCGGTCTGGCGAGTTGCTTCTGCTGCTGTAGCTGCTGTAACTGCTGCGGCGGCGGTGTCGGCGGCGTGGACTGCTGCTGCGGCGACGGCGGCGTCCGTCACTGCGGCCGCGTTTCTCCCGCCGCCCCTCCCCGCGTGCGAGTTTGTTGTCGCGGCTGTACTGCACGGAGAGGCGGCAGTCGCCGATGTATTGATTGTTGAGATCTTGGATCATCCGCGCGGCGTGCGACATGTCGGCCACGTCGACGAACGCACATTGGCCGCGGCGGCGGAAGCCGGTGATGGGCGCCACCTCCTCCAGTTTGTACCGCAGCTCCTTGTCGGAGATGGATCCACCGGCGGGGCCCAGACCCACGAAGAGAGACGTCCGGCCAGCAGCTCCACTACCAGCAGCGGAATTGTGTTTGTGGCTATTCCGGCTGTTGTTGTTATTATTATTGTTGTTGTTGTTGTGATTGCCCTCGCGGTTGTGGTGATTACCGCCGGCCGCCGGACGTTCCTTCTCTTTACTGCGACTGATCTGCACAGACATGCGGGCCTCGCCAATGTACTTTCCATCAAGCTCCGCCACTAGCCGGTCGGCAGCCTCACTGTCCTGCACATCCGCAAAGGCACAACGGCCGCGAATGCGCACACCGAGCACAGGCGTGACTTCCTCCAGCCGCTGCCGCAGCGCCTCTTCAGAAATAGTGGAGGCCGCCGGTCCAAGTCCAATAAACACAGATGATGTTCCTGCTGCTGTTCCTGTTGTTGCTGCTGTAGTAGTATTAGTATTAGTAGTAGTATTAGTATTAGTAGTAGTATTAGTATTAGTATTATTAGTATTAGTTACTGGTGGAGTTGTGGATATGGGCGGGGTTGTGCTGACTGGTGCTGTTATTGGTGTTGGGGTGTCCTCTGGTTGTTTCTGTAGTGGTGTTTGGGATTCAGTGGTGTTGAGGGTTGTCTCCCCGTTAGTGTTATTCGAATCGGACATTTTGTTTGTACTGGACCGTTCTTTGTTTCTTTCTTTTTTAATTGAGTTTGTTTGTTTTGTTTTTCTTTTTTACTTTTTTCCTGTTTCTTTTTTTTTTT